ACATTTTCTTATCTATTAAGTTAAGGTTTTATGTATATATATTCAGGCTGTGGAAAGTTTTGTTCATCCATCCCTTCAAGAATAGTGAAAACAAATCCAATAAAACTCCTAGACAAGTGTTTACCGAATCACACAAGAATTTAGTCAGAGAATGTGAGAAATGGATGAAGGAGACTGCTTCGTCCTACACAATTGTAGCTGCACTCATAATCATAATAGTCCTTGTCGCAGCTTTCACTGTACCAAGTGGCAACGACTCTGCTAAAGGGACACCCATTTTCTTGCACAAACCATCTTTCATTGTGTTTGTCATATCAGATTCGTTTGCACTCTTTACTTCCACTGCTTTACTATTGATGCTCTTGGCAATCCTCACTTCGGTTATGTAGAAGAAAGTTTTTTGGAATCCTTGCCGAAGAGTTAATCATTGGGATAGTCACCTCGTTCTTTTCTATTCCATTCATGATGGTAGCTTTTGGTGCGACCCTTTACATAGTTTTTTGCCATCTATGGAAATGGACCATCATTCCAATTTCCCTTCTTGGTTGTCTCCCTATATCCTTATTTGCTCTTTTGCAGTTTTCTCTGTTGGTTGAGATGATCTCTTCAACTTACGAATCAAGCATTATACAACCAACCAAGCAATTCCCCAGAAGAGCTATAGAGCAATAGATTACTTTAACAGTACTGCCTTTAAATTACACGTTTTTGTCCCCTTTTTTTTATCTATAAAATGAGAGTAAATAAAATTCTTGAAATTAAGAATTACATGCCTCTAAGCCATAAGGCCTAAGTAATTAGAATGGAAAAAAACAGAGCAACAAATTGCTTTGGCATTTTCATTTTAACTTTAGGGGTTTAAATTCCACCTCTTTTATGCTTTAGTAGTGGTGTTATGATTGAGACTTCTGGAATTAAATCTAATTCTCTGTGCTTATAAAAGATGAATAAGAAAAGGCAAGGGGGGTTTAAATGGCGTATGAGGAGATTTAACCCTGTATTTAGAAAAGATGGACTAAAATTTCTTCAAAGCTACATAATTCAATGCAAATGAAGTTACTAACTTGCTTGATATTTAACACCCTAAACCTGTAAACCAGTATAAAATATAGATTTAATAGAGTTAACTTAAAATCTAACATAAGAAGTATAAGAAATAAAATGGGATATTGGGTTAGGAAAAATAAAATAAAATAAAGGAAGATAGAAATTTAATCAAAATATGGCTTTTCCCATTTTTGCCAATTGGGCTGGTCTAGATAATGGGCTTTACCTTCTTTCAATGTCTAATGTTTGGTAGCCTGTATATATGAAGATGGCTTGATTTGGTGAATGATAAGTCGCTTGATTTGGTAAACAAACTCTATTTTAAACATCCAATCTCCTTAGGCTTGCTCAAACATTTATATATGGATCTGAAATACGATCAAAATACTTGAAATATAAAATATCTCCTTCATGACTTTGATAAATCTTGTAATTTGATGTATGTTTTAATCTTGTAATGTGTAATGTAACCATTTGAACCTTATACTTTATTTCTTCTGTCTTCCCTATTGAACGTCCAACCCAAACCTGAATATCTCGGGACTCAACACTTTTTTTTTTCTTTTTTCTTTTTTCTCAATCTTCATCTACAAATATTCCCTAAAAATTTGTAAAATATTAGGGAGTCAGTAATACTATAAATTAATATATTTATACTATATCTAACTTTATAATTAATGTAATTAATAGTTGTTGGATTGAATATTTATGTTCTAGCTGCTGTCATTGAATTATTATACGTATGCTTTGTAAATTTTCTGCACTTTGTGTTGACCTTCTGACTAGAAACAGAGAGAAGAAAAGAGAAGTGGACATTAGAAATCAAGAGTAAATTACATGGAATCCCGCCAGGTTTTCCTTTTTTCTCTCACCTTGTTCAGCATATTTTAAATATTATTAAACTGTGAAAGGGAAAAGGGGGATGGTTCCTTGTATTGTAAAAAGAAATTCCATTGACAGCTAGAATGATATATAGCATCTTGGAATAAATTATTAATGAAATCAGAATGAGAACGGATAGTTGTTAGGTTAGGAACTGCAGAGATAAACCAAATGTACGATGAAATTTCAAAGTTGTATAACAAAGCAAAATCTTAAACGCTTAATCGATTTACTAAAGGGGCTAAAAGGTGTTCAAATAAGAGTATCTTCAGTTACAAACTTCCAAGAATTACAAGATATATGATGAAATTTCAGAAAAGAGAAAAGGGAAAAGATAGAGAAGATCCTCTTTAGTGATTTATGTTGTAAATAACACATGAATAGATATATGAATATCATCAACTTGAAATATCTAATTCTTGTTGAAAATAACTAAAGTTTATATAAAAGTAAGATGGTACAAATTAAAGGAAACTAATACTATATAAAGCAGTAAAGATAAGATAATTATTCTCTGCATAAATGTTTTCTTCTCCCAAGAGCAATCAACCCATTTTTTCCCTCAACATCTTTTGAAGTTTTTATTCTTTTTCTTTTGTTTATTCCCCTAATTTTCTTGTCTTCTACTCTTTGTATCAGGTCCCTTTCATGCTTTCGATTTATGATTTGCATAATTGCAAGTGATGAAGTTCAAGTGTGAAGGAGCTTGGACCTTAACCTTCAAGCCCATTTTGTAACTCTTCATTAAAAGAAATAAGATATGAAAAAGGGGTTCTGGCCTCAATGCAAGACCAGTCCATGTATTGGTTTATTTATACAGCTTAGGTTGTTACAATGATAAGATACATTTGAAATCAGCAACAGATATCAAGTACAAGATATGCGGAAGCAGAGTTTAAAATGGAATCAAGTTGTTGGAGCTGATAAGGTTGCTGCAGATGTGGAAGTCGTTGGTGATAAGTCTGCTGTGTTGAGAGTTGACTAAGTCTCTTGCTTAACATTCATGACCATATGCATGTTGACTCATTTCATATATGAGTAAAACTATTTGTACAAACTCTCATATAAACTGATGTGGTATGTCACATGGCATACCATGAGATATTAGGGGTTACCTAACTTAATGGCATATTAATGTTACGTAGACTTTCATATTACGTGGCACTCACATGATATGTTACGTCAATTTATATAAATAGTACGAGAGTTTATACAAATAGTTTTACCTTCCGTATATATAAAAAAAGATAATTACTAGTTTGAAAAACCTTCCATATTCCATAAAAATAAACACTGAGACATGAAGAACAATAGGCATAACATCAAATCCTTGAAAAAAAAAAAAAAAAAAAAAAAAAGGTGGGAATTGCTTGGAGACGAAACAAATAATATACTTTAAATAGTATCAAAGCAAAACTTTAATTTGCTTGGATGGGAAGTACAGTATAATTGATTTATCAACACCCAATTGGGTTATTACACTAGTCTTCTCTGAGGATTGGTATATATAATGAGGCAGTTGTGAAATCCGCAATCACATGAATGGCCAGATTCTTTAATTTGCTTATACATAAAGCAAAGCTAACTACATAGTATAAGGCACTCACTTTTTTCTTTTACCCTATTAAAGATTACGAGTTTGGCATGTTTTCTTCTTCAAGGCTGTTTCTAAAGCAATATAATTCTTATAGTTGAGAATAATCTGACTCTGACCCAGCTGTTTATTTTGATCTTTATTCTTTACTTAACTAACTTGCAAAGTGTATATGCTTGCTCCTTAAGATCAAGTTTGGGATCTTTAATTCTTGCTGCCCATATAGAACATTCATCGAGTAAGAAAATAATATTTTGTACACTATTATATATACTTAAATCTTTGGAATAGCTTGAAGAAAGCTCTATTGTTAAAGCAATGCCAAAGCAAAGCTTAAAGGTTTCCATTTCTTGTTATAGAATAATGTTATTAGTACAAATTACTTTTTGCAAATTAATATATTATGATATAATGAGAGAAGTAATTAACATAATTTCTCGCCAATTTATTCTCATAGCATTGATGTCAAACTTTGGGTCAACCAAATAGAAATTTGAACCGGGTCGAGACTTGTATGAGTTTACAAGCATTTTTCATTTAATACGCATCCAAGTTTTATAAATTGAATCTCAAATTCATTTGCTAGCAATGTAGATTTGACAAATTGCCCATCCCATGTTTATAGACCTCGCGTTGTCACACCGCCTATCAGATTGCAAGTGTGCTCTCGTACTAATTATCAAATCTTAGACCTAAAACAGACGATTTATACTTAGTTGGATTCGAGATTTAACAATTAAGTACTCTTAAAAATTGATATTAGGGAAGTAACTTTTAGTCTCTATCAAATTGATCAATATCCCCTATTACTAAACACACATCTACATATATATATATATATATAATATATAATATATATATATATATATATATATATATATATATATATATAAAGAAAAAAAAACTCTTTAAACATCGTTTATTTAGGCTTTTGGTTTGCATCTCTTTTCCTCTTAATTATGTTTTTTTTTAATGCCCCTTTTCTCCGATTTCGAATAAAATAAAAGTATATTTAAAAATTATTAAACATTTCCAATAATTATAGTCAATGTTAAATTGTCAAAGCAAAAACATATTTAAAGTGGGGACATTATATTATTATTATTTATTATAGTAAGGTGTTTGAGTCAGCTTATGTACATCTCTATTAATCTTCAACACCTTAGAATATCGTTTGGATAAGAGCTTTGATGACTACTCATATTAGCAATAGAAGAGAACTCGACTAAAACATTTTAAGTAATAAAACCAAGAGTCTCTATCTAACCGAAAACTAGTTTCATTGATGAATTCGATGGGCATAAAAAATTACTTCAGTATATTATTCATGCATAGGGTATAAAACCAGGGTGGCAGCATTTCACACACAAAAAAAAAAAAAAAAAAAAAAAAAAAAAAAAAAAAAAATCAGTTTCTCATTTCTTTTTCATTCAATTACAATCTCTGATTTCTGAGTACTGCTGCCATGGTGAAAAAGATGGCTTCAGGAGTGCACCAGGCAATGGCTCCAGCAGATCATCAGCAACAGGAGGTGGGTCTGGTTGGGTGTGAAATTGTTTCCAGCGTCTTGGGGCAGTTGGAGACGACCATTACGCCAGAGAATGACCTAGAAGGAGGACTTCCTGAGGGTGCCAAAAAGGAACTGAAAAAGCTTCGTGAAAATCTGCAAGAAATTCGAGATGTGCTGGCTGATGCAGAGCAAAGACAAGGGAAGGAGAAACGTTTGAGATTTTGGTTGAAGAAGCTCAAAAATACGTGCTATGACTTGGAAGATGTTTTGGATGAGTGGAACATTGCTGTCTTGAAAATGCAAGTCCTGGGCGCTGATCAGAATGCTCTTATTCGTGAGAAAGGAAAGGTATGCTTTATGTTGCCCTCCTCTTGCATTTGTTTCAATAGTCTCAGCGTACATGGTGACATTGCTCGGAAGATTAATGACCTAAGTAAAATTATAGATGATATTAACGAAGAGCAAAAAAAATTTAGCCTTAATAAGATTGGGAGGATTGATGAGAAAATAGAGAGGGTCAGTGTCTCCATTGATGATGTGTCTGAGATATGTGTTCGAGAGGATAAGAAGAGGAGATTAGTGGAAAAGTTGTGTGAGAGTGGGGTTAAAACAAAACATCCCCATATCATATCAGTTGTAGGGACGGAAGGAGTCGGAAAAACAACTCTGGCTCAATTCGCCTACAATGATAATTTGGTGATAAATTATTTTGATATAAGAATATGGGTGCGTGCTTCTGACCCTTTTGATGAGCTTAAGATAGCTAAGTCTATCATTAAAGCTCTGAAAGGGGAAGTCTTTTATATTGATAAAACTGGGTCTCTTTTTCAATGGATTAGTCGATCTATTTTGGGAAAGAAATGTCTTCTTGTTTTAGATGGTATGTCCGCAGAAGACTATCAAAAATGGAAGCCATTTTATCGTTGTCTCAAGAATGGTTTACCTGGTAGTAAGATTTTAATTACCACTCGAAAGGAGGTCGAATCAAATGATGTTTTCCAAGTTGAGAAATTGCCTACAGAGGGATGTTTGATGTTTTTAAGACATTTAGCATTTTTTGATAGGTCTCCTGAGGATTGGAAAAAATTAGAAAACATAGGTAAGAAAATTGTAGAAAAGTGCAATGGTTTCCCTTTTTGTGTAAAGATTATTGGGAGTCTCTTACGCTTTAAAAGTACCAGCGAGCAATGGCAGAAAATCTCAGAGAGTTATATATGGGAACTAAAAGAGTTAGAGGAGAAAGATTATTTTCCATTTCTGTTTTTGAGTTATAGTGAGTTACCCACAATGATAAAACGATGTTTCTCATATTGTGCTATCTTCCCGAAAGATTACAATATGAGCAAAGATCAATTAATTAAATTGTGGATGGCTCAAGGTTATCTTGGTTTTGGAGAAGATGAAGAAATGGAGATAAAGGGTCAAAAGTATTTTGACTACTTATTAAGACTATCTTTCTTCGATGTGTTTAAAAAAGATCATGATGGCACTATTTTACGTTATAAAATGCATGATATAGTGTATGAATTCGCTCAGTTTATTAGTAAATTTGAGTCTTTAACCATCGAAGTCAATGGTCTTAAAGATGCATCCTCAAACGCTGCTCACCAAGAAGCTCACCATTTAATGTTAATGGCCAGGGAGGGAGCTCCACTTGCTAAATCCTTATGTGATGTCAAAAAGTTGCGAAGCCTCATAATTCTGGGTAGAGTTACAGATCTCTCATTGCTTTGTAACGACCCATTAAAGTTATTTGATCAACAGATACCTTTAAGGGCTTTAGATCTCAGTGCAAAGCGGCAGTATGCGAATTCAGTTAAAGAGATTCCAGGAGAGATAGGAAAATTATCACATTTGAGATATCTTAATTTGTCCCTTTTAAATTTCAAAGAATTGCCAGAGACGTTATGTGAGTTATGTGCTTTGCAAACTTTAGAGCTGAGTTGGTGTACCGAACTCAAGAAGTTACCTCAGGGGATTGAAAAGTTAATCAACTTGAGGCACATAGTAAACAATGGAACTTCACTAGAGTATATGCCAAAAGGAATCGAGAGATTAACTTGCCTTCAGACCTTAAGTGAGTTCTTTTTGGGTGGTGGCAGCGGCGAAGCATGCACCCTAGAGTGTCTGGAAAATTTGAACCACCTCAGAGGGTCTCTCAGTTTAAAAAGGTTGGGAAATGTGAAAAATGTGAATGAAGCCAAGAAAGCAGAACTGAAGACAAAGAGAAATCTCCTCTCTTTGCATCTAGATTTTGAAACGGAGGAAAAAGAGAAGGTGAATCAGGAGGAAGAAGAGATTCTTGTAGCCTTGCAACCACCTTCTGATATAGAGGGGTTGGAGATTCGAGGATACAGAGGCCGTGATATTTCTCTTGATTGGATCCTGCCATTAGAAAAACTGAGTATGTTGAATCTCCATGATTGCATGAAGTTTGAGAATTTACCTGCTTTGGGAAGACTTCCATCCCTTGAATCACTCTCTATATGGAATATGCAGAGTGTGAAACGAGTTGGTAATGAATTTCTGGGAATCAAAAGTGGTAACGCATCTGCTATTGTCTTTCCGAAACTGGCGTCGCTCAAATTTGTTGACATGGAAAAATGGGATCGAATGCTTATAGATGTACCGGAAGAGTCAATAATCATGCCATGTCTTCGGTCGCTATCATTTGTACATTGTCCGAAATTAAGCAAAATACCAGACCGCATTCTGCAGAAGACAACTTTGGAGGAATTGAGTATCAATTGGTGTTCTATTCTAAAACAATGTTACAGCCAGAGGAGTACTGGAGAGGAACGACACAAGATCACATCTCCAATATCATGATTGATTTTGCATATGAGCAAAGAAACGGCCATGGGATTTTCAAACAGCAACTGAAGTTGTGACAGACTTACAGGTAAATGCATAAGTATAATTTCAAGAATTAATCCGGTAAAATGTTTAATATATTTTTGCTATGTGTATGTCCACCTACTGAACAATTTTGTTTCTCCATTTTGCAGGCATCAGTAGAAAATTGTACTATAAATGTCAACTTCTTTTGAATCTGATCTTTACAGCCCAGTTAAAGCAGAGATTTCTTGAACTATAATAGGCCATCATCACCAATAAGCAAAGGTGATTTCCCTTAAGCATCTTGTATAATCTTCTGTCCATATTTCTATATGTTTGCTAGTTATCACAATTTCATTTTATTGATCTCAGAGGCACACTAATTTCTTGCTGCACTGGCTTTAATGTCTTCCAACAACATTAGTTACTCATCTGAGCTCTGGTTTCTTTTCTTTTCTTCAAGAATAAAAAATAGGTAACATAGTACTAGACGTGTATGCGCTTTAGCTAATCCTTATACTCTTTTGAGTTAGTGTACTTGATCAGAATGTTTTACTCATTTCTGGAATTTTGTTGTTTCTTAACAGAGACAGGACATATGTATCTAATGAATCAAATGTTTCTGTTAGTGAACTTCTCCGCTGGCCACAAATGGAAATTGTGATTTGGAAATTAAGAAAACTTGATTAAGGCATTTCAAATTGATGCACAGAGACAAGTTCAGCAAGTCATGAATTTGCTGAAGAATTATTACTAGGCTTGGCTGACTGCAGTTCCTGTCCCTCCTTTTCTTTCGCCCACCTGGAGTTTAGCTCACAATATGATATTTTGTTCTCAGGTATCAAATCTCATCTGCGGGGAATTATATTTTATCTAGGAAAGAGTAGATAATACTATTCTTCCGAAAATATATGCCAAGGACCAAATATTTGGTCATAATTATGAGACTGTTTTTGATTATTTTTTCACAATGGTAGATTGACTTACTAGGCATGCTTAGTAATGGATGGAATTTTGAGATTTGTGTCACAGAGCAAAACGATTTACTTTGAAGCCTTCAAGCATGGGCCTATGGCAAAATCAATAAGGAAACAAACAGAAGATGTGCTCATTGCTTGGTAACTTTCGTTAATCTTTCTATAGGCTTTTTTTTTTTTTTTTTTTTTTTTTTCATTATAAAAAATAATGTTATTGATATCAGGCCATTACCCTATGTAAATATGGTTATGTTGCTTTCGATATGACACTTTTGAGGTTTCAACTCCAGACTTCAGCCCCCCAATCACAAGAAGCTTGTCGGATAACATTTCATGTGCTCCTCATCTTATAATGTTCTCAGCCTATTCTGATGCCAACTATAGCAGCTTAGGCCTAACAGAGTTCTGCTTTCAACTTAATGTAAGTATCTTTCACCCAAAACATATTTACTTTGTACAGATATCCAAATTTTATAGACTAGACTAGCTAAATACTCATTCATAGCGATGTGGTATGTAACACTTTTAGGCATGAAACAGGAAATCGAGATTGCTGGGAAGAAATCAAACCCAGAAATTGTTACTACTTGGAAGCAGGAAGAGTTGAGAAAGGAAGTGGAGGCCATTACTTGGCTTGTTCTTAGGATCTCATTGCTCTTTCATGTTGGTCTCCTAAAAGGACGAGAGTATATAGAAGCTTGAAGCACAAGAAAGTGAAATGGAACATATCAGTATAATTTTCTGGTTTTCTTTCATTGAAATTAATCCATCCTTTGGAAAAGCTCTTAAAACTCAGAATATTGTTAATGATTTGGCGTGCTGAAGTTCTTTTTTCTTAATGTGTTATAAAAGTACACATCAAAATTGTCATGCCTCCTCTCGAGTATTACTTATTCCGTTGGATCCCAGTGCTTCGAGAGACTCAAGATCCCAAAAGGAAGGTGAATTTTTCCCTTTTTGAAAGCAATTTATAAAAATCCATTTATAAAACTATTGTGATAGTAATACAACTCAAAACATAATTCTAAAAGTGCAAATCTTAGAAAACAGTTTACACAAAATACTGTATCACATTATTCTAACATGTACACACATCATGCCGATGAACATGCGTCTATGGCTAACCAAAAACGTACAACATGCGCATCATGTATCCTGTATGCAACTTGAGTGGAAAATCATAAAATGGTGAGCTAGGAAACCCAATGAGTGGATAACATAGTTGATAAATGAAAATAACTTTTAACCTTAAACTTGCATAGAAAAAACTTGCATTTCATGCAACTTGTGACCATTTCCTTAGCGAAAACACACTTTCCTTATAAAGTTTCCAAACACTTATCCTTATATAGTTTCCAAACACGATAAATCCTTAATTTATACCCACTCTTACTCACACCAATACTCATCGAGTGTTCACAGTTTCTACCCCAGCCTATACCCGTTGGATATACACAAATTCCACATCAGCCTATACTCAATTGGGGATTTACAAATTCCACCTCAACCTATATCTGCTGGGTAGTTAACAACTCTCCACACCGTTAGTGCAACCACCACCACCACCACCTCATTAGTACCCCAGGACATACGTTGAACCTCTCGATTCTCAGCCCCTAACACAGACAAATAAACTAGCTACTCAGCTAAGCTATTACCCGCCTAGAGAGCCATCCAGAGTCAATACTCGCCACCTAGGCCAATACCAGCCTAGTGTAATAAAAGGCCAATACTCCCTGGAATATTCAACACAATACACATTATGAGCATCCTTATGCCAAAGCATGTAAATTAGGGGTGAGCGGTTCCGGGTACCCTGCACTTTTCCGGGGAACCGGAACCGGAACTGCACAGTACATGTTCCCAAAAAAAGGAACCAGAATCGGAACCGCACAGTACAGGTTCTTCAATTCAAGGAACCGGAACCTAAAATGCTTCCGGTTCCTTTCCAGGGTACCCTGTAAAAAATCAATTACCCCCCTATTAATTTAAAAAATAACAAAAACACCTTATAAGTTTACAAATACACCCCTAACAAATTTTCGTTATTCATTCATTTGTGTCCAATGTAACTCATAACCTGTAATCTCTAAGCAACGCTTGAATTCAACCAATTCATCACAATTCACATAAAATTCGTCAATCAAAACCAAAACACAAACAATTATTCATCACAATTCCAAAAATAACTTCACCAAAATCATTTAAAAAAACAACAATTCTTAATACTAATTACTACATTGCCATTTGCCAGGGGTCTATTTGATAAGTTAATAAATTATTAATGTTTATAATTTATTAATTAATGTTATAATTGGTTAATTGGGTATTTAATATACCAAATATAATTAGTAATTTAATATTAGAAACAAGTAATGTATAATTAAATAAGTGATCATACTATAATGTAAATTGTAATGTTATAATTATTAAGTGATCATACTACAATGTAAATTGAATGTTATAATAATTAAGTAATATATTATTTTTATATGTAAATTAATTAATTAAATTGTTAATCATAATTAGTATTTTAATATTGTTTATAATAGAATGTTATAATTAATTAAATTTCTATCATTTAATTAAGTATTGTGCTAATGTAGTAAATTAGTAATTACTAAATTTAAATATAATATATAACTCATAATCAATTAAGTAATTATTTAATTATGTAATGTATATTAATTATATGATCTTACATAATGTATAATGTAATATTATAATGAATTAAGTAATCATACTACAAATCTTAATTTAATATATAATTAATTAAATTCAAATCATTGATTAATATACTAATGTTTATAATGGGTTATAATTGATTAAGTAATCATAATCAAAATATATAAGTAATGTTATAATTAATTAAATTTTAATCGTTTATTAAGTAATGTAATAGTATAGTAGATTACTAATGTTTATAATGTAATGTATAAATTCATAACTAATTAAGTAATTATGTAATGATTTAACTATATATGCTATAATTAGTAAGTGATCATATATAATGTAATATATAATATTATAATTAATTGAGTAATTATTTAACATAATGTAATGCTTAATTAATGTTTATAAGGTAATGTTATAATTAATTAATTTCTTATCATTTAATAAGTATTGTGCTAATGTTTATGTAGTAAATTAGTAATTACTAATGTTTAAAATTAATATCATAACTCATAATCATTAAGTATTATTTAATTATGTTATGTTATATTAATTATATGATCATACTATAAATAGTATAATGTAATGTTATAATGAATTAAGTAATCATACTACAATTCACAATTTATATTATAATTAATTAAATTTCAAATCATTAATTAATATACTAATGTTTATAAGGAATGTTATAATTGATTAAGTAATCATATTCAAAATATATAAGTAATGTTAAATTAATTAAATTTTTAATCGTTTAATTAAGTAATGTAATAGTACAGTAAATTACTAATGTTTATAATGTAATGTTATAATTCATTACTAATAGTAATTATGTAATCATTTAACTATATAATGCTATAATTAAGTAAGTAATCATATAAATTATATAATAATCATAATTTAATTGAGTAATTATTTAACTATAAATAATGTTAATAATATTTATAAGATAATGTTATAATTAACTAAATTTTTATCATTCAATTAATATTGTGCTAATGTTATAGTAATTACTAATTACTAATGTTAAAATATAATATCATAACTCATAATCAATAAGTAATTATTAATTTGTAATTGTATATTAATTATATGATCATACTATAATAGATAATGTAATGTTATAATGAATTAAATAATCATAATATAAATCTATAATTAATATTATAATTAATAAATTTCAAATCATTTGATTAATATACTAATGTTATAATAGAATGTTATATGATTAAGTATTAATTAGATAATAAGGTAATGTTATAATTAATTAAATTTTAATCGTTTAATTAAGTAATGTAATAATATAGTAAATTAGTAAATTACAATGTTTATAATGTAATG